CGACGTGGGTACCCCAAATAAAGCAGAAGAAAATACATTAATATGTAATGCATTTGATCAAATTAAAAACTCTACAAGAACAACTGGCTCTACATATGTACATATTGAATCAGCAAAACTATCGATCCTGGGAGGAACAACTGGGGGTAAATATCAGCGGTTAATGAATCAGTGGAATACAGGCCAAGGTTTAGAAGGTATTCACAACAGAATGAATTATCTGGTATTACAACGACGATTATCAATCAGACCTCAGGATTTAAATGTTCGTTTGAAGGATAAAACAATACCATCATTGGCACACATATTAGTCGTAGCTCATCTTTTCGGTGACATAGAATACAGATTCGACAAGAAAACGAATGATCTACGATCGACAACAGGTAAATTTTTACGTGTGATACTATCGCTATTAAAAACAAGGCTACAATAAACATTTTTGAATAACGATTGAGGAAAAGATGGTTGAGATCTTTTCTTATCGATAATTGTTCAGTAAGTGCGATTGTTGAAAAAGAGTAGTAGATTTTTTTTTTGGTAACTTTTTAGCATCAACGAATAGCCAAATTGGCATCGATGATGATGAGCATAGTGCTTTTCATTATGTATTCAATAAGACAGCCGATCATGCTGATAGTCTTTTAACGTCAACCCAAGATAAACATATTCAAGCTTTTTATGCAAAAACCAGTGAGATCTATCCACGTTATTGTGTACTATTACAAATATATCGAAATATCACTGAAATATTGCAAAAATCAAAAGACGAAATAAATTTTGATGATGGCGAAGTTGAACAGCAAACACTACGTCCATCGTTCATTAATGAAGTTCAAAAACATATCGAACAATTGTATTTGAAAAAAGCAGCAAGAAACAGTCAACAGTTACCGATTTTGTATGTTACAAAGGACACATGTATGCTTGCGTGGTACTACTATGAGCATATCTTTAATATTGCATTATTATTATTTGATATGGAAAACGCATTATCAACAAAGTCTTCGTTATTAATAACTAAAAAAACACAAACACCAGCGCAAATCATATTGTCATACGAATTCAATTTTTTCACGAAAACGACACTAACAGGCAAAAACCCACTGACAAACGCCAACAGTCCGTTTCATAATAAGGAGCATTTGTTTGACGAAGGTATTCGACAATTAATATCAGCTGGTTTGGTTATGGAGGATAGATGGATTCAAAAATCGATTAGATCGTATATGAAAGTTATTCCACCCGAAGATCCCACTGAACTAATGAATTTAGAAGAGAAATTGAAAGAATTTAATGTTTCATTACTAGAATATGAGACAATATATAGACTTTCGGCGAAGCCATCCGCAAGTAAATTTACGGCAATGTGTTGTCGTCATTTAGCATCAAATATTATTTATGTCAAAGAATATTATAAATATGTAAATGATGAAAATATGAGAGAAACGATTGAATATTTACTCAATGATGGGAAAATAACAGAAGAGGTGGTTAATGGTGAAAAAAGATATGTGGCGATGATCTACGATGATGACACCACTGAAACTAACACAAATCTATCACAAATGGAAAAACAATCAATATTTCCAGCAGTATACGAAAACAATGGACCACAACAGGTGCAGTCAGAAACTGACGGTGATCGTCCAGGTATGCGGTATAAGTTGTTCTTTTTTCAACTTGTAATTTAAAACATTCTTTTCTATTAGTTTTTGCGCATTTAGATACTTCTAAATGCAACAGTGCTATTGCTTATACAACATCAGTCATTTCTATTGATGATAACAACAATCAAGAATTGGCAATATCACAGTTATTAAGCAACATATATAGTGAACGTGATGAAGGAATTTGTAATGATGATCAGCAACAAGAAGCGAACGAACAACAACAGGAGGAAGAATTCATGTTAAACTCAAATTATAATGAAAATGAAAATAATCTTTCGCATCAAGTACAGCCAAATGCGCAAGAAATAAATGAATATCAACTCATTAAAAAAGGTAAGCTTTCAGCAAAATATCACAAAAGTGAATCATAGTATATAAATTCATCTTCTCATTTAGAGTTGTCCATCGACCTAAAAGCAACAACAGCAAGTAACCAATTAGCCGAAGAGAATGATAAGCAAATAAAACAAATAGCTCAGAAAATATTGCTGAGTCATTCTGTTTTCATGACACAAACAGATGTTACAAAAATGACAACTCATTGGTCGACGAACAGGCAAGCAGCCATTGATCAGTTATTAAATAAACGATTACTCATCAAAGATTTCTATTTTTCGAAACGAAACAAAGGAAGTAGTTCTTTAACAAGCGAACTTGGTTATGCTAAGTGCTTTCCATTAGATGAATCTATAACTGAAAGAATTAAATTTAACAAGCATTTAAATGAATATGGTGTAGATATAAAAGATTATTTACAATCATTTAACGGCGGTGAAAAAATCGAATTCGATACAAATAATTGTCCAATTATTAAAAATAATAACGTCAATACAAATTGTAAATCGTACGGTTTGTCCGAGAAAGCCGAGGAGCTATTCTATTCAAATGTGTTTTATAAACAATATGTTACACTAGATAAGCAACAAATTCTAAGACCATTACCAGAAATAAGTACGAATTTAGTGTCAAATAGTAAGTCATTAGACAAATTATTGCGACAGTCATTTCACATTAACGATTTCTTCTTTAGGTGTGGATACATATCATGAAAGTAACAAACGACCGATAAAACGTAATAAAGCACAATCTAGACGAAGGTCAAAACGAAAAAAGCAAATATGAACAACTAAGTTTCTCTTTTGTAGTTCATGCGTTTGACTCATTTTTATCTTCATTCCTTCTTTTACTCATTTTATTTTTAATTCTTTCTTAATTAAGAGCATCCTCGCCTTTTCAATCTTTCTGCAGAGCGATTGGACGCAGTGTGAGTTTCACAATTTGTAGACATTCATATAACTATTCACTGAGAGATTATTTCGAGCTAAAATATGCTCTCCTGTTAATATCTAACGATACTTCTCATAAACATTGTGAATTTTTTTCTCTTACATGTAAATAGTAATAAGCCTTATTTCGAATTCACAACTTTTCAGAAAAACATTTTATAGTATTGAGATGACTTTCGTGTGGAAGAGGACACTTTGCTCTATATGAGATATGTCGAAGTCCAATATTCTTTATATCCATGATAATAAAGAGTGATAGAATTTTTAATCATTTATGTTCACTAGTGATATAAAATAGGCATAAACAAGAAAATACTAGTCATCATGTGGATTTGTTGTTAACTCAGCGTATTTTTCTATTGTTTTCGTAAAACTGTCAATTTTTTTGCACTTCTACTTTTAAACGAAAGAGAATACTATAGATTTATGCCTGTCAATTAACTATAAATACTTAGCCGTGTTTTTATACGTTTTTAGTGTGTTCTTTGCTATTTATGATTATGGGTGTATTTATATAATTGTTTATTTCATTATAGAAAAACCTTTGGTATAAGTGTTTTTCTCCATGGTCGTTTTACAATACTGTCATCTCAATACTTTTGTTTTGTTTCATGTTTTCATGTTACGCATTATCAAATGTTATTTCTTCCTAAAAAGAAAGTAGACATCAGAATAAAGAATTTTTGCTATATAAAATCTTATTTGAATTAATAAAATGTTATGGAAAACGTGCAAGAACAATAGTAAAGAGAACATTCTTGTTTGCTGACTTGCTGCTGGAGCTCGAATTAGGGTTTTCTGTAAGTATTTTTTGCTCTCTCCATTAGAATGTTTGCAACGGCTCACAATCAACGTTTTTACACAGTTGAGGTAACAGACAAACAAAACACAATTTTGTTTCTGTTAAAACACATGACAGTTAAAGAAATTAGTGCAACAGTAAAACTAGATAATATTTTACCATGCGAATTATCAAATAAAAGGTTGCACATCAGAAAGATGATAAATTTGTTTTATGGAAAAAATTATGATCAGGTAACAATCGATTTCATAATATCTACAATAAGAGATCAACAAGAATTAGAGCAAGAGTTAGTATGTGATATGAATATCAATGAAATTGTTGACAAGTATCGTGACTCAATCACAATTGACGATGCCACTGATATTAATTTAATTAATTTACTACCGTTCACTACAACATGTATCCAATGCAAAAGAGTTTTAAAAACTGAAAAAGATAAAAATGTCACACTGATGTGTTTAGGTACTATTAAAACATGCACAATTTTTAAGAGTAATTGTAATGTTTGTAAAATTGATTATTATCCAACATACTTCGAAAATAAAATTATGAAATATAAATACTTATCGGCAACAGCCATTAAAAATAATCATTATTTGTATTTCGGAGGACAATCAGCATTTCATCACGATTTACTTGTCACATTTTCCTCAGATTTAATTTTTTCTCATGTTCCATTCAATAGTTTTTGTGAATCGTATGATTATATAATTGAAACAATAAACCGCCATAATTCAAATCAATATATACCCACAACATACCAACAACAAAAACTAGATCCAAAATTATTTCAGAATACTTGGCTGGTATTTGAAATGGCACGTTTTTATTTTATGATGTGTGATAATGAGTTTTTTCAAATACCAGCTAGTTATGAAGGCCCAGAAAGAGACAATTTTTTAAGACAATACAATGAGAAATTTTATTCATTATTTGTAGGATTCTGGACTCATCATAATTCTATTACACAAAATTGTGATAAACGATATTGTTCAAAAGCTTTTCTTACAGACGGGCACCAAAAACCTGACCGAAAAGTCTGCAAATATGACAATGTGTGTGACATTTCAGTCGTTGAGCTAGGTCCAGTTTTAATAGGGTGTCCAGAAACACCTGAACGTGACAATGGTAAATGCAATCACAACGTTTTCTTCAGCTTTTCTTATTGCTGTAGATAGTTATATCTTTGATTCTCTGACCATTGATTTTATCCTTATTTATCAGTATTGCACACAGCATTTATCATAATTTTAAAATTAAAGTTTCTTTCCTACCCATCGGAACTTTTAAATAATTTTAAATTAATGTGAACGACTTTCCTTTTAAATTTGTTCAAATTCCTTTAAATCTCGAAATTAGTTTGCATTAATTCGAAAGTATTTAAAAGTTCCAATGGGTATTTCATA